GAACTCGCACAAAAGCTACATCAGCTGGCTCTAGACGTTGAGAAGCACTTGGATTTGCATTTAAGAGGGGGTCAAATAGCGTCATGACGCTATCCCTAGCGCTGAGGAATGGCACTGGAACGCAGAGAGATTTAGCATAATAGTATAACTGTTGCAGGGCATTTGGTCGTGCCAAAATCGCTAGGTGGTGATAAAGTCGTCCGGTCATTGGTATCTTATCCGAAGCCTTAGTATACCAGAATCTTGATACACCAGACCAAATTTCTCGATCTCGGATATCATCTTCAACGGCCATCCTGTAACGCCCTAAATCACCAAGACACTCTATCCACGTATCTTCAAACGCGGGAACTGTCTCATATAGCAACGCCATCATGGTATACGCGATATATATGAAGGTGAGCATGTGCTCAAGCGAGCCAGGCAGTTTCCGCCTTAGAAGCTCTAAAAACGAGTGTATACCATGACGCCACATTCGTGCAGGCATAAAATACTTGGATGCAAGCCTTCGGAGCGCGGCGCTCGCTGATGGGTGTTGAGATGCCAATAAAAAGTCATGGTGCTCATGGAGAAGTGATCGGTGAAGAGAAATCAATGCATGATATTGCTCTTGACTTAGGTCAGTCTCCTTCTGTGTGCTATCATATTCAATACACTTGCTCTCGAGCAAAACCAGTCCGGCATAGATGCCTTGGACTTCGGCGGCAAGCTGGTCTGAAGATATAGACCGAGTATCTGGTTGACGAAACAACTCCGATGTTGACGCAGCGGCATCGGCAGACTGTTTCGGCTGGCCATGATGTTGTCCTGGATTGCGCTGGCCTTTATGCTGGGGAGACCGGCGATGGCTGGAAGAGGACATCAACTGGCCATGCCTTGTCTGTGGCGTCCGTGGTCTTTGCGGCGAACCGGTCTTTCGGGCATCATCGGCAGTCCAGAGTTGACGACCAGTCGGGTTCTTGGTGCGAACAAAGTCATCATCTCTCTCACTGAGTCTGGCACGACTCCTGCCTGGAGTCGGTGGTGATGAGCCGCGTTGTTGGGTGATTGACGCGGGAGGGGAACATATCTTTTTACTTCCTCGACGGGTAGATACTGAGTCATCCCCTGCCAAATTCAGCCTATCAAAGTCATCTTCAGCCCTGTCGGTGAACTCAGGGTTGCCAGATACTGGTCGTTTTCTGGTCACTGCCCCGGCATTGGTGGTGTCCCCAGAGGGCCTGGTTTCTGAGCTTCTACACAATTTCGAACAAACCCGTTAGTATCAGTTTCAGATGTATGGAAATGGGATGCAGAGGAACTCACCGAGCCTTGGTGGCATCGTTGCCCTGGAGCGTACAGTTCTTGAAGGCTTCCTCAATATCAGAATGGTCAGCTGACGTTGGATGCTTCAACGTATAGTGCGCCTTGAATTCATCAAGGCTGTGCTGCACTTCGGCCTCGCAGAGCGGACATGAGACGCTGCGCGAGGCGGCTTCTTGACGTGCAGCTTTGCGTTGATGCTGGACCCATCCTCTTGTGAGTTTGTCCATCGCCAATGGGTCCGATTCCACACCGCAAGGGGTTGTAAGACCATAAGGACTAAAGTTGCTTCTGATGAGCAGACTCTTGAGCTAGCCAATGAGCTGTCTGGGCACAGAGGTAGCCTATGCAGTTATTATTAGCCTTGGAACAACGGTGTAACAATGCATGGTCGCCACTGCGGGTTCAGAGTTTTGTGGCAGATGCGGCGTGAGCACTTACAGGCAATGGGGATTTTCTGGGCAGCTCTCTCAAGGCCGTGGAGTCAACTCTGGCCTAGAATCATTCATGACATGGTCAGCATATACTCTCAACAGAAAACGAATGGCTCAATCCCAGGACGTGGGAAATTCAAAGGATTCCGTTGCTAGCCACAGCCTCTCTACGGGCCATGACAGAGTGCCGAAACAAGGAATCCGGTTTTGAACGAATGAAGCAAAAGCAAATATGGACAGAAGTGGAATAGAAAGTAGATTTTGTACGAGCCGCCTCACCTAGTATGCCCTGTATTCCAAATGACAGCACGCTCGAAGAAGCGGCTCTTTGAGCCGCAAGCAAAAGTTGCCTCGGATTGCGCCGTTGGACGTGCTCTTGTATTTGATTTTTTCACAGGGTTGAAATCAAAACAGACCAGACCAGGGCGACGACGAGGCTGTCGGAGACGGAGCGCCTGATTGTTTGAAAGGTGGTCGCCTAAAAGTGCACACAGTGCGGGATGCTGGGGTCCTGCGGGATGCTGGGGTCCACTCCTTTAGCCCCTGCTTGACGCAGGCGTGGTTCGCCAGGTTGCCTTGTTGGAAGGAGGCTCAACTCGAGGTGGTACCCTGGGTGCTTTGCCTGGGTGGGAGTTGCTTTTGCCGGAGCGTTCAATTCTATCAGGTGATGGAAAATGCCCAAGTCTTGCACAGTTATCCGAAGGCAAGGATTTTGTTTTAGTATTAAAATATCGGGGCCGATCGGATTCTGGTGAATGTTTGAACGTGGCAAGAACGTGGCAAATGGCCGAATACCTAGGTACGGAGGTACTTGTCGACCTCCAGATCTAGCAATCAAGGTCAGCCAAATTGCTCATCATGACGGAATTCCGTTGGTGCTCTCGCAAAGTCGTCGCTGCTTCGCCGTGATCTAGAGAAAAATGATGGGTTGGGAAGATTCCGTGGTGGGAGATGATGATGGTTTATCAATTCTGACTCGTCCACCCGACGTGATGCGGAGCCTTTGTTTACCCCCACCCCCCATGTTTTCATGTCCGTTTTTCTTTGTATGCGAAGAAAGCAACTGAATAGCTCCAACCAAAGTGCGCCTGGCGAATGACTTACCAGAGTATTGATGCCCTTGGAAAGTAGAAGTTCGATGGATTTTAAACGTTGAATGACACTAGCGGTGCAGGTAAAAAGGATAGTCGTATAGCAACGAGATTGCGTGGTGACAGAAATTCGTGATACCTCTTCTGGAATGGAGCAGTAGCACCTTTATGTATGCAAATTCGAATCACATAATCACAGCCCTCTCTGCCTGTTCCCACATTCACACAACGACCTCGTCTTCGGTGTTGAGAGAGTTCAGAGCATGTTCAGACAAAGCATCTGCTTGATTCTGGTCAGCACTGGTCGCGTGTTCCTAATCGCCATGCAAATAAGGCAACTATAGGGCTAACATGCCATCACGGGGCAGGCTTGTGAGAGTAATCACCTGTGTTTCGAATGTGTCTGCTCCAAGTCTGGTGGAATCATGTTATACATTGGCCTCATGTTGGCCCTGTTAGTATATCAGGCAGGCCTTCGCCATGAATGACGCACGAGTGGATTGGAGTTGAAACATTCTTTGAACAACATCATGCCTTTGTTTTGCGCCTACTCCGTACGTTCAAGCTGTTGGGATTCAGACGCAACTTGCCCTACCGCATCATCGCCAACGCGACGTGAAATGGGCCCGTCTTCCGAACACGATAGGGAATGTATGTATCTTACATGTTTTTCCCTAGTCGGACATTTTGGTTCGCATCTTGATGCTTGTCTCGGTATTGAAGAGCTTATAATTGCTGACGCCGGCACATTTCGAGATCCCCTCCACGGCTCACGAGTCTTCTTGAGGTTCCACACCTCGTTCGGTGTTCCAACTAGGCAGATATCTGACTTGCGTCAAGCCGAAATGATCATGAGCTCAAGCGTGAGCCATCTGTCAAGAATCGAGATATCCCCTGCGTGCGGTGCCTGACTTCGAGCCTTCCTTCCTCGAGGAAACGGGAGCCGTCCGTCTCATTGGTCCCCGTGATGTCACACCCAGCCTCGGTTGAGGCTACCTACCTATAGGTAGGTAACTTAAGGTAGGTGGAGGTACCAGCTACTTACTCAGGCAGGCAGATCCGGTATTACGTTGGTTCGTGCTCCGTGAACTCTACAGCAACAGCTTCATTTCCCAACAAAGTTTTCTGGTTCAGGATTTGACCTCTGCATCTCGTGCAACACTTGCTGACCTCTATGAAGCACACAGATCAACACACACGTTGTCTGTGGTCATCTGAGAAGACAAGTTTTTCGAGGTTTGCTTATGGTTACTCCGTAATTGCAGCCCTGCCTTACCTTCCCGGCTTGCAAGCCAGGGGGCCTCTTCCAACCCTTTCATCAATATCAATTGTCTCGGCCTGCTTTTGTCCTAACCAGACTTTCTTACCCACTGCCTTGTTGCCTCTCGACACCTACCAGCGGGCGTCCATGGGAAAACCCTGGTTCGTTTATATGTGCAAACAAGCAATAATCCATGATTACGGCTTACTCAGTACCGCTCGCCACCGGCCATGCTGATGTCGCCTTCAATGTTTCGCCATGGGCAAACCACGGATTACTGCCTGAGTGCCAAGTACGGCGTATTCAGCACCTTCAATGTTTGACCGCATCAACCTGGCTCCGAAAATTTGTCAGGGACCCATGGACATTGGAGAACAGGCCAGGGCAATCTCGCCAGCCTCGGTTGGGGATCGATTCAGGTCGATTGAGGATTTAGCTGCCAGGAGCTTGCATGTGGTACTATTATTGGACTATTGAATACATGGCCATGACAGTTGCATTGAACATAGTCATGTCGACAGCCCGAATTTCACAAAAAAGTCTCTGCTCGACGTCGTGCGCAGGGCGGTGAGTTTCCTTTGCCGAAAGCCATGTTGACTCGGGCTGAATTACTAAATGGAGAACATATTTGCTAAGATATATGTCAATGATAGCCTCGGATTGGTCAAATCAACAAGTGTGCATATCCAAGGTTGCCGATTGGACCGATCTCAGACCATCACCGCCTGCGCATAGATACTTGCGTCGCGGCAGCAAAAGATACCATATTATGGCGTTATCCGAACATGAATTACACGAGAAAGCAAATGGCCGAAAACAACCCCAAGATAAAACCTGGCGTCGGTTCCCGTCCACGTCTCACCGTAAAAAGCGAGTTTACCGTCTCATCTCCCGCTTATTTGCCCTGCAGCCAAGCGCTTTCCCCCCCAAGCCTTAGTTCTGCGTTTTTGGGCATCTAGATTGGGCAATCTGCAGAGAACACAATCGGTAAGTCCTGCTAGATTTTCTGCGTTGACGGTAGCGGCCGTGAAATCGCACAACATCCCGAAAAGGCATCTTTTGTGCTTGTGTATGTGCAACACATGTCACAAGCTGACCAGGCGGACCATTGGTGTACCAGAGCTGACGTTCACATCCGATACTCAAAAGACATGCATTCCGGCTATATATGTGGCTCGTTCATCGCCAATTTGATTCCATCCAGATCTATCGATACGATTCATACTTGGCAGCCACTGCCAGTTTTGCCTCGATCCGGTCAATCGTTTCTGTATCATACACTTCTCCAAGAGCTTTTCTAGCCTTGAAGATCTCCTTTTCATGTCTGGTTGCTTCCTCTTTGGTCATACATACAAGATCTCGTAGCCGCACGGTGGAGCATTTTTGGGTATCCTTGCCCTCTCCGATGACACTCATGTTTGTGTCCTCTGGTCGCTGCCAACGAGTCAGGACCAGTTTTGTCGATATGCCACTGACAGCGCTGCGTCCATGATACAGCTCTTCTGCCAGAAAGGCCACGTCACCAGAGGTAAGAGGCGTCTTCAGGCCGACTGTATCCAAACCCAACATTCGTGCAAGTCTGTCCTCGGAGCCTTGGACAAAGGTCATCATTCCTTCGTACATTTTCTCTCGTCCCTTGGCTGGGACATAATTTAGTGGATAGCCCGTAATGCTCAGAATGACATGATTTGCCGCTGTGAGCCCAAAAATAGCAGGCATAGTTCCTAGCACGGGCAGTATTCTGACCCTAAAGTTGGGCATCACGCTGAGATCACCCACCACCCCTTTTTGAAACTCCTCCTCGGGAAGGGGAAGCAACTCTGCCTTGCCTTCTCCAGATTGTTCTGTTGAATATACCGCGGGGATGCCGCTGGTGATACCGAGTAGTTTAAGACGTCGTCTTGTTGCCCGTGATAGGCCATCATCGCGACTTGCACCAATGTCGCCAATGACAATCCTAGTGGGATCACTCTTGCAACCAGCTCCCATTGCGCTGATCACTGGCAGCTTGTGATCGTAACAGTATTTCAGTAACTCGACTTTGGTATCGATATTATCGATAGCATCAACGATGAAGTCGGGCTGTCGGCCATCTTCCCAAGGCCCTAGCATCCGCGATGCCACGGACCCATCAAACTTTTCTTGTTGCAAATCAAACTTGACCCACGGTGCGATGGCAATCAGTCGCCGCTGAAGGCAGTGAACCTTTGGAATACCAACATCCGCCAATGTAGCAACAGCATGTCTGTTCAGGGAGCTCAGCGTGACTTGATCAAAGTCAACAAGCCGGATCTTGCTCACGCCGGAGCGCGCAAGTGACGCAGCGCAATGCGATCCGACACCACCGCAGCCAACTACAATGACAAATGAGCCGCGCAGTTTCATGAGCCCTTCAGGGCCGAGAAAGACCCTGTTCCGAGCGAGCTGTTCGAGAATGAGTTCCTCATCGAAATCTCCGGCTAACGCCCTTCTGCTAAGGGCCTGGTTGCGAGCATCTTCCTTGTCGACGGCTGATTCTGAAGACGCTCCAAAGTTGTTCAATTGATTCGTATGATGGCCGCCATCTCCCGGAGAGGGTATAGATCTCTTGAGCTCAGAAAGTCTCTGCTCTCGCTCCCGGCCTTGATATCCCAGAATGAGTGCAACGGTTGCGCCAGACAGCACAGCTGTCGCAAAAAGATGAAACCGGTGGCTTGAAAGGGTATCTGAAAAGAAGGAAGCCATATTTTCCATCAAATACCGGAAATCACCATCCTAAACCGCCGATTCGCCTCATTGGCCGTTGTTGTTTGAGTATTTTCATAATGAATCGACTTTAGAGGTTCCACTTTGATGATGAAATTTTGCTTAGTCACCTCCACTTTTTGTAAGGCGGCCACCATCATTGGCTGCGGGTCGTCCGTCTGCCTAAGCTCTAGCTACTTCAATTCATTAGAATATTAAGACGACTGGCAACACCTTCATTCGAAACGGCGCCCGCTGGGCTACACCATCAGTCATGCGTGCCAGGCTCGTCATGCGCCGGCAACAGGCCGTCCTCCCCTCATCTAACCCACGATTAATCTGCACACGATCCTTCGCAAACCAAACTAAATTCACATCCACGACGTCCCGACCAAGCTTGCCCTTCCTCCTTGTCCCGAAAGCGAGCCCCTCCATCGCCCGATCATTTACCTCCGAGCGCAAAAGGTGGCTTAAACACGAAGCAAAGCTGGTCGTCAGATACACCATCACAGTCTGGGGCCTCGCGATCTGCGGCATCTTGATCTTCTTTGCAGTCAATGAGGAAACATCAGAACGGGAGTCCCCCACGCCCCACGAATGGCACTACCTGACGAGGAAATATCTCCGCGACGCGCAGAGCTGCCGGGACCCCAAGGATGGCGAAGTCAACTGGGCGCGGTGTCTGGAGCTGGCACGGGGAGTGGTTATCCGGCTAGAGGATCCCAAACTCGGCGGCGAGAATGTAGTCAAGTTAAGCGACAAAGTCGATCCGAGCCTCGAGGTCCCAGGGGAGTTCATCAACTGCGACATCTCAGCCAAGTCGGAAGAATGGAGGCGCGGGTACTTTGAGGCAATCATGCTGGCGGCCAAGGCCGCAGAACACGTCGACGGATGGCTGAGGGACACAACACGCAACGTGGTAAGCGCGCCCGAGTTTGTCATTGGCCCCTCGAATCCACGGCCGAAACCCATACCACCGGGACGACCGCACGCACCAAGGGAGGAGGACTGCGAGCCGGCGTACCCAGCCGCAGACAGTTGGTACGTGAAGATCCTGGCGACGGCCGGACTGTCGCCTCGCCAAAAGATGGAGGCGGCGCTCGAGTACGCCACCTTCATGGAGTTCAAACACAGACAAGAAGGCTCGGAGGCGCTGTATAGTCTCGCCCTGGCCGAGGCATCCACCGGACTCGACCCCTCCAAGCTACCGTACGACCCCAAAACGTTCATCGTCAAAAGCAATACTCCAGCGCCGTCGATGAACGTTCTCGATGCTCTGACAGCCATCGCCAACTACAAAGCCCGACGGGGAGATGTCTCATCTGCCCTCCCCATCTACATTTCTCTTCTCAAAGCGCGCCGCTCTCTATCAGATACCCCGCCCCCTGCGATTCGGACAGAACCCAAGATGCTCTCTCCATACGAACGATTTGTGAGGTTCTTCGGTCCTCCAGCCTATCCGGCCCCGGGACCAGATGGCACCCAACCGCCGTGGAGAACTCCCTATGAGCGATGCCAGGAGGCATCCCTTGACTTGTATATTGGCGAGATCTTGTACGCCACTTCATCGGAAGATGAGGGGTTGGCTTGGACCAGGGATGGTGTTGATTTGGCAGAGGAACAACTGCGCGCGCTCGGATCAGCGAGCAAGGATAAAGAGACGAAGCAGATATGCCGTGAGTGTCTGGGCACAGGCCTAGAGAACTGGACCACAATGGTATCCCGCCTGGCAAAGGCAGAGGAGGCTCGGGGCAGTGACGCAAAGTCTAAGCTGTTTTCTTTCTGGGGTGGATCTCAGGATGCCGAGGGTCGATGGGCAGCAGAAGAGGCTGTGGTTGAGGAGCGCATCAGGAGGACACGAGAATTAATGGAAGATGTAACTCCACCCAGGATGGGAATTTGGTCTTATTTCAAGGCATGATGTATGTTTTCTCGAGGTTTTGTATATTACTATCAAGCAAATAATTTGAAAATACCCTCTCGTATACCCTGCATCGATCTTGCAAACAATCATAATTCCCCATGTGCCTGACTCTGTTAGCTCCCTATACCGTTTCTTGGAATATCACACCTCTTCGTCTGACGACGAAGAGGTGTCGCAAGCTTCTCCGTTCTCTAGGAACTTTCTCCAACGCTTCTGGTTCTTCACCTCTTGCTTCATGAGATCCGCATCCACGACCCGAATCAACGGCTTTTCCGAGTCAGCTACCTTCTCCCAGTCCTCGTCAGTAAATTCTTGCTTAGGCTTCTCCGCTACTAGAATATCGTCATTTTCATATCCCGGGGTCAGGGCTACAGTTTCCAGATATTGAAGGGCCGGTTTGAGAGCACGTATGAGAACCATCTCAGCATAGAACGGCTCGGAGGAAGAGTAACACGGACACCCGAAAGCTGGGATTTGTTCCTCTTCATTTCCAGAAGGGGGCGCGAGGGGAGTATCCAGGGGCTCCGTAGAAACGATGTACGCTCGGGCGCGCTAGAATTAATCAGTATCTACTGGTGACAAGGGATGCGGTACGACTTACCTTTGCCATGAAGTCTCGAAGCGCTTGGTTGGTTAAATCTGCTGGGTAGACTGTTCCCATGAGAAGCATAGCATCGAGATGATCCTTCCAAGCGTGCCAGTTTGTCGCATCGTCCAAGAACTTGGTCACCAGTTCGCAGCTCTGCCCAATGGCAATCAGATCGACCTTTGTGCGTTCGCTCATCACCTGGAGCAACGTACTAAAAACAGACTCGACATGCTTTTCTGGTGTTTCATGTGCGATGACGGTGTTGATCCCAGGAATATGTCGCCTTCCAGCATGAACAAGGCTTGGCAACGGGATCGCCGTGCTTTCCGTCGCGGTAAGCATGCGGCGGCCCTTGGGCCACCAATGCAACTGGCCAGGATTGGCAATGAACACGCCAGGCGGCGACGAATCTTTATTGGAGGCGACTTGTTTTTGAAGTTCTTGAACGACAGAAACTAATGAGCCTTTGTTAATGCCACCAGGCCCATTAGCCACTCGGCCGGCCAGCATGCCCAATGCTTTGGTAGGCTCGCCGAAGAATATAATAATCCGAGATTTTGAAGGCAAGTCAGGCGTCGCAAACACAGCTATGTGCTTTTCCGAAGTCGTGCTTCCTAGTGGTAAAGCAACCTTCTCTAGTCCTTCAGCAGCGAGACGCTGATGAATTATGTCTTCCAAGGCTTCTAATCACCCAATTTTAATGGTAGTTCCTTTCCTCGAATGCAACATGGAACGTACTGTCAAATTCGAACCTCTGACGCTGGTTTATCCGCTCATTCTTATTTATGAAGAATTTGAAATATTGTTCTGGGCTCTCGACAGATCGTATTTCATCGTCGTCGTTCACAAAGTATCTGCTTTTATTAGATTGCGTACCGTGATAGTTTGCGCCGGGATGATTGAAACAAACCCCAAGCCTTTCAGGTCAGATGGAAAGGTCGCATCTTTGGGAAGGCCAGACCAATGTCGGCGAAACATGACGGCGATTGTTTTGAGATGAACTGGACAAATGTTGCGTTAGAAGTTCACAATTGTCAATACGAGAAACATAGAAATAAAAGGAGTTTCGAGATGTGATTGCGGAGTTACTGACATTGCAAACAGGGCACAGGCGCTGCCGGCTGTCCGGCAGGTGCAAACGGTTCAAAGCCCCATCCACAACATTGGCAAACACCCGCAGTTCCCTGCTTTACGATTCTAGTCACCAAATTGATCGATTTTTCCAATATTAGTCTTTTCAAATTACAATAGGCATCGCATAATTTGAAACCGAAGGGTCTTTTGTACTTCGGAACTTCATCCCGCCAGGATGAGAGTCAGAAGGACAAATATCTCGCAGAATATCGACAGAGAATAGCCGCCAAACGCCTGGCTCCATTGTACATAATTCCACCCAAAACGCCGGCCCGTTTTCCCTCCATTTATGATTGAAAAGTTGGCCTCAACCCTGCGTATATCGACTTCTGAACGCTTGACTGATACTAAATCGGCTGCTGGCGCCTCGATTCATGTGACTTGCAAGAGCTTCCTCAAGAGCGGATTGGGTTACTGATGCGTCTAGATATTGTTAGTATAAAACCGGACTCCAGGCCCGCCTGCGTCGTAAACCTACCATCCAGATCACTAAAACTACTTCCCATGCTGGGAGTCCCATCACTACCCTCGCGAGAACTCGCCTTTCCCTTGCCGCTCGGACTGCGTCCTGCCAGCTCAGCAGTTCGCCGTGGAGAGAGCGGTCCGGGTATCTTGGATTCCTTCGATTTCGGCCTTGGTATCGCAGTAGGCGAGCCTGTGGACGAATCGTCAGACGTTTGAGATTGGTGAAGGTACTCCCGCATGGGATTTTTGTGGTTTCGTCGACCAGAAGCCCGTCCATCTCCCCTCAGTGTTGAAGCCAGGTCTTGACCTGGCTGATCTGAAGCCTGGAACGGTTGAAACGCGGGCTCCAATTCATCATCTCCGTCATCAGGATACGTTTTCGCAGCTTCCTGTTGTTGAAATCGTGGTGGGCGGCGGATAATTCGAGACTGTGCGGGGCTGGATTCCTCGTCAGACGATTCATTGGAGCTGGATTCAGCAGGTCCTGGCGAAATCGCTTCATTGTGGCGATGGTCGGTCTGCGGTTCGGGCGATTTTGCTGTAGGTGACGGTATCGGTAGTGACGATAGTCTCTTCCTGCCTGCCTGGTCGACCGCTCTGCCCGGGAACGACGTACCATGGCGCGGGGAAGATGAACTAGCGACATCCTTCAGAATCGTAGTGTTGCCAGACGTATCACGACTCATATTCGGGCGTATAGGTATTGAAAGCGGCGTTCCACTCAGCGCACCCTCAGGTCGCGGCATCGGCGAGTCTCGTCGTCCTGAAAGGGCAGATGGAGCGCGTTGATATGATGACCCAGTCGGTTCTGCGCCAGGGATGGGAGATGGGGCAGCTGAGCCTTTCGCTGCGGCCGTAGCCTTTCGGACTTGGGCTCGAACCTGCGACGCATGTCTTTCAGTCAAGTACGCGACTTGCTTAAGGAGGAAATCGACGGGGACATCGAATCGTTCAGCACTGCATCATGGTCAGAATATCCATTGCGGGGTGTTGGATGATCAAACATACACTTGACTCCCTGCGCAAGGTTGAGGTCAGCATCACATCACTTGCCAAATTGGGAGTGTATGGGAGGAGGCAACTCACAGTCAATCTCGGTTTGCGTTGCACCAGAAAGAATCTTCCACAAAGCCTCATCTTTGGACGAATCCCAATGGACCTAGGTCACAGGTCAGGAGCCGTTGCAAGAGGCGGCCAATGGTGGCACTCCTACTATCTGAACTTACGGGAGGAGGATCAACAAAGTCTCCCCTGGGTATGGGCACCCTCACAAACACCGTATACTTTGGCTGGGACATGTCGATGATGTCCCCGAGCAAGCCACTGTCAGGCGAGGATGGTGAGATGGGAATGGGAAATGGTCAGAGCTCAGATGGTATAGCTGATGGAAGTAAATGTTGGGGTCTATCGATAAGACCAGATGACAACATCAGGAAGTGGCAGGCATTAGCTTGCGTGGTGGATCTGTGACCCCAGCATCAGCTCTCACTCGGCTGACAGGCCAGGGAGGCTGGGGCGGTACTTGCGCACTTTACGTAAGCATCAAGTGCATTCAGCCACGTGGGGGAACGATGGGCATCCAATTAACGACGTCTTCGACATCCCCCCCGAAAGAAGCAAACAAATTGGCATGCTCCGACCACATCATTTGCAAAGCTTAGATCATGCCAGAGCCACACCAACACCACCCAAACCTTATGTGACTATGTGACCCCTCAATATTTTTGAACCTTTTGGCGCACTTGCGGGAGTTCGCCGACTAGTACTCTACCATCAAGTCTTGCGTCCGCACGTTTCGACGGAACCTTCTTGATGCACAGTTTCGATACAGTGTAGTATATCAGTGTTTGCATCCGGGTATTTACATTTCTTCCCCAACTTTGACTTCATCCCTCAGGCTTCAGCGCAAAGTCGCTCGGCTTATATGCTCCTCCTGCCATCCACATCGCCGCCAATATTGACTTTGAGACCGACCCCAGGCCTGAAGACGCCGGGAAGCCTATTTTGAGCGACAGACATCCCGGACTCGCTGATGGGACGCACTGCGGCGACAACACTGAGCATTCCGAGTTCCGAACCTCCCTGATGTACTGTCATTCTGAATGTGGGTACGGGTATCGTCCAGAAAAGCTCGCGCAGCAACGTACTCTGTTGTCAGGGTACAGATCTTGTCTAGAGCATAATCAAGTAGGCCGGGCATGACGTTGGACAGTAAATGCTCAGTATATGCACCGCGAGGCTTAGAGTTTGCGGGTGTCTATCGTTTGTGGCGGTGACCATGTTGAGCCTTCTCGGCCTGCTTCCATTATGGATTCCATTGCATCAGAATAACCCTTTTCTGTCCGATTCGTTGGAGAGCGCATCGATACGTTTTTCTCCGTGACGCTGAGTTGACGAATAGCGGAGTGTAATACAGTATACTTCGTACCGTTTGTAACGCAGTGCGATGCGGTGTAACGTTACGGAGACAAGAGAAACATCCAATCAATAACGTCTGCCAGCTGCATACAGGCGAGTCGCAGAACAGCTGGGCACGCAATCATGAAATCCCTAACAAGCACTCCGATAGTGACGAGTCCCTTGAAAATAATACATCATGTTTATCATTGTCTAGTACCGGTAGTATAGAACGCGGCCTTGACCAACCCTCCGCTCCGCACCACCGCCGACCAGAAGAAACAAGATTTATACTCGTTCAAAATTTCTACAGTCCCAATATGGTTTATCCACTTCGGAATGCTATGAAGCCGATTTTTCAAGTCCGCGACTGTCGCGACTCTACCAAACTGGCAGCCAACCCTCTCAAACGACATCGAGAATTCGCCTTGCGACGGGTCGCAAGGAATCCGCAGCTCCTTCCCAGCCAAAGACATTGCTATCCACAAGCTGCACCTCTTCACACCCGGATCACCATTGAATGCTCCACAGCCCTCCCACAGAAGAAGCCGTGTAAGCCTTAAGAATCTCCCGCTTGAGACTCTTCGGCTTCAGATCAAGGAGTAACCCGTCGTTTTCATCAATCTCATCCATCTCAAGGGCATCCATGAATAGCATCCGTCCTCCTTTAGGAGGTAGTTCCAGAATGGATCATTGAGATTGCGCGACGTTGCCCAACAAAGCGAAGGATTGGTCTAGCGCCGGTAATGACTAGGACTTGGTCGGGGCCCAGAGTTGGCGTGACTAGAACAGCTGGACATGCTTCTGGACAGTTGCCAACGTAGATTTCTTCCTGGGTGGCGGATTGTCCGAAGCCAATGTCCTTGTTGGCGGATGCGGCGACAGCTCCGTTGGATTCTTGACAAGTAAGCTCTTGCTGCAGAGTACTATAGCTTGGTACGCTGACGACAGATGCTTGACGGAGCGGAATTTCGTTCCATGGTTTTGTTGTGAGGATTGTATCGCTGCCAAGAGCATGGAGCGAGTACTCGATCTGCTCAGAGTCTGAGATGGCGTCAAAAATATGCATCATTTCAAAATAGACGAATGGCGCTGTGATATACATCTCCACGGCTTTTGGATGTCCCTGCGACGAGTTGTACCAAAATACCAAAGTCATAAAAGTCATCACGCCACGACGGCGCGGATAACGTACGGAGAAACTGATGCGCCGCCAAACAGGCAACGTCCGTTCTGGATAAACGCAAGCGATCGCCAGAATTGAGGGACTTGATGTTTCCGCGCGGTAAGTGTTCGGACAGTCCTAATGCAGTCTACACGATTTTCGGCATATGGCGGAGGAGAACTTGGGCCCAAAATCGTCGATAACTTGTTTGAGCATGCAATAGTCCCCGGCAGTACCAAAGGATCCTCGAAGGCAGTTGGATATTGTATCCAACACTTCAATAAGACCCCCGACGAAGAATTCCGCTTTCCGGACAAGATATTTTGTAGGAGAAGCCAAAACGGCATCAGGCCATCTTCGCCCTCTGCGTCATCGTCCAGGATGCTTAAGCGGTCGAGGCAACACACTTGTTGCGAGCTTGGTAACATGCGGTCTGAGATTATCTGATCCATGGTAATGCCCCAGATGTCTTGGAAATTCTTTGATCTTTGCTTTATCCAACAGCAAAAGAATCGACATGGAGATGTGGCCGGCCAAGTCCTGCGGATGCGATGACTCAGTCAGCGGCCGCCTCGAAACAGGGCGGGGCTGACTGACCTCTGCTTATAATAAGAAAATATACTATGTTTCACCCATGAGGATGCCATGATTTCCATAGAATCTCAACCCCGTTTTTGGCCAATATAGCATTGCAGTTCTCTCATACCATAAGGAAGTTCATTTGTGGGTCCTTTAAAGTCTGAACCCAGCTCTTGGTCCCTTGACCTTTGTTGTCCAGGTCCCAAATGACTTGCAATGTCTCCATAGCGGTGTATATAAAACCCCAGGGGCAGGATCTCACAAGCCGCTGCAATCTGTCCATGACCCATTCCCTCCTAGCGCGACCGCCAGCCTCGGCCCCTGCAATAAAAGTCGGCCAAGTCGTAGCCTTGAAATTGGGATCATTGTCGGGAATGCTAGACAGATGCTTAAATATGTCCCGGCTCAGAGCCTCCGCCACTTGACCGTGATCGTTCATTTGGCTCATCGATGGAATCGCCTGCAAAATATATAGACATGCTGCAAGGCGGTGAGCTGACCCTGCATGGATTCTGCTTTGAATTGGTGCATCCTGTAGATAAGACATATTCCGAACATCGTTGGCCCATCCATTGATGTCAAAGGCTTGAGCTTCCTGGATGAGGACTAGACCTGCTGCCCTGACGTCTTCTTCGGGAGCGACGTCGGGAGAGACGTTGGATAACTGGGAGGCCGAATGTAGAATGGTGAGAATTTCAGGAGGACAGCAGAGGTAGCTGTTGGCTGCTGCTCTTTGGAGTATGAAAGGAATCTGAGATGGCTGGAAGTAGGATTGGGTGTCAAACGAGGCCGCAGGCATGAATGCAGAAGCCAGGATGAAGTAGCTTTTCAATCGTCAGTCGCACAAATCGAAACGGCAGCGCGCTTTTCCCCCCCAACTTACATAAAGCAATCCGACAGCATGTAGTCTCGCAAGGCAGTGTCTGCCACACTATCAGGTTGTAACAAGGACATGATTCTCCCAGCCCCCTCAAGGTGAGCTTTCCAGCCATGTTTCCCCGACTCAATCAACTCGACGTTGATGAAGAAGAGAGCGGCAGCAAGCACAACATCACCCCCAGTCGTTTTGATGTTTTCCACCGCACCACGCATCAAGGTCAACGCCTTGGATTTGGCGACCAGCGCGTCCTGAAGTGCGCGACGCGATGCTTGTTCAATGCCCGCAGTAACACCGTCGTCCACACCCTTCGGGTGATTTGCCAGCGGAGCACGAACCAAGTTCGACATGTGTGCCGCCGATGCAGCGACTATAATGTGCTGCAGGAGTGGGTGAGCCCTAGTCAATGGAAGCAAGCCACGGAACGGGTTGCGTTCCGGAACGTCTTGAGATACAAGATCTTTACAGACTCGATTCGTAACTTTCCGGATGGGATGAATTAGCCAGCCGGACCATCATCAACGAGAGATGTAGACATGTCCAAACTTACAATATGACAGGTAATACCGATGATCATATTGCATATCCTGATACAGAGGATCTGCCAACGCCCACGGACTGGTAACAGCACTCTCTGGCGATGGTGATCTTAAAACCAGTTTCACATCACCCTGATATTCTGACATGGACATATCCACCGGAGTTCCCGCGTCACTACACAAAGCAGGAGGTGAGCTGCTCGGCGTAAGGAAATCCAAATCAGCCTTCCTTCCGGCCACTCTTGTTGCTCGAGCCGCCGTCCTTGCAGCTGCGTCTACAGGAGCACTCGACGTCCTCCCAGCAAGCTTGCCGCGGCTAGCGACGGCGCCTGTCCAGCGGAACAGTTTCCCATATCCAAGACATTCCTTTCCAGCGGCAGTACATTTGTTGCAGTGTGGGTATGACTGGTCACACCGGAGCCGTTGTCGCCGACAGTTGTGGCAGGGCTTAGTCGGCGGGTTGGTCGAGTCCATGGCTGCGAGTAGCCCTGGAGGTTTGCTGTATCTGGTAATCCCAAGTCGATTGAGCCTGTCGGCCCATCTGTGCAGCATGCATATCGATTCGAAGGACGGAAAGCCTTCTCTTTGCCTTTTGCGTTTCACGGCTAAATGTGTCTGGGCGGCTTTTTGCGACCGAGCTTGAATGAGGTAATGACTCTGGGCCATTGAGGTATTCTGGAAGTTTGGCGCTAGACTGAAATAGGCAGCCAAGGCGCACTTTTCTTTTTTAGCTTTGATTGGTTGTGCGAACAGGTTGATTTCTCTTACTACGTCGAGCATAAAGACGGCGGTGCGTGTTCTTTTTTCTTTTTTCGTTTTTTCTCTCACATTTCAGCTATAATTCTAGTTACTGGAATGTTAATTTAAGCTCAAGCGCACCTCGCCCTAGTGAAGACAACCTTCGTCTTTATAATAACCAACTCGATGACCCTCAGAAAGTCACCATACTTGGAGAATTCAGGACTCCTTTCTCCAACAATTCAACTCCTTTACAGCAAAGTCCCGCCCCATTGTTCATCTCTCAACTTTCAGGGATATTCAATATCTAGGTCGTTGATGGTTACACCAGCCCTGAAGGCCCAGCCGATTAGCCCACGAACCTAGCAAAACATGTCTACCATTCGACAGGAACTTCCAAAGTATTCATGCTCTACTACATTTCTACAGTTTGATTTGGCATGTGGGTCGCCATGGCTCCAGCTCATCCCATTGACGGTGTAACAATATAAAGGACGTACGTCCCACAGTAAGAATGCTTAGAAACATGGGTCTTGCCCAGGATGATGATGTCCAGAAATACATTATATCAATCTGACCAAACGCCCTGTCCAGGACCACAAATTTCGCGGCCAAGTGCTCGATATGTCACTTGTCAGTGTTGTTTGATTCTTCGAATCTGATCTGATGGGTCCTGTATCCCACCCATCGCACACGAGCGACAGAGGTCTGTGAATGCCGGGACTCTATTTCACGGCATTTGAGGGCCGCTCAAGGCAATATTGAGGGGATCCTCACCTCATGCGGTCAACCTATCGCGCACTCAACCAAGGCACCATTCCGCTTGGCAAGATCCGGGGCGGATGCGCCCTGCGGAGTAAATCTCCCGATTCTCCATTCAAAATGCGACAGTGTCTAAACTCTAGCTCGAAGCTTGAAAAGCAAATCCGTCTCCCAAGATTTGCTCGTTCCTTGAACTTCGGTGTCACTGAGAGCAGTAGTAGCTCTTTCAAGCATTGTCAGTGGCCACATTCGTTGTGAGACAACAGTCTCAGAGTTTCCAAACCTCGCCCGCCCCAAACTCCGAGTCATTTGCAAATGGCAAGCACCAACAGCAGCACCATGACAGATCGCCTTGAGAATGCCCCTGCAGGAAATGCTCCAAAGGGCATCATCCAGACGCCATCAAAAAGGGTGGCGTCTCAACCAAGCTTTTTTTGTTGCATATTTGGTCTCCGGTTGGTTTAGCCCAAGAAGTCAGCTTTCCCCCCCAACTTTGATATATCTGTGCGTCTCCGGAGCGCGGCTGCAAGCGCACAAGCACTTTTGCTTCACCCATTCACCAATCGCCTTGTCCCTCCAATAAGACGCATGGCCTTGCCATGTCAAGCCCGTACTAGCCAGCGGGACCGAAATGACATGCACGACGCCACTGTTGCCCGCGCTTTCAAGACGACTCTTGACTCATAGGGCATGTGGCGCGGCATCCATCCATACATACATATGTATGTATCTTGCAGCAGCTGGACGACTGCCATGTGATATTTCGGGCCTGCGCCCAAAAGTCATTTTGAGGACCCCGGCTGCGTCTGCATCTGCGTCTGCTGCAGGGCTCCTAATGCGGTCAATCCCGCGGTGCTGTGGGTGCCGAATCCTGGTCTGGACCAGCAGCATATTCTTTGACGGGCGCTTCGTTCCGTATCGAATCATTCATGGTTCATGACGCACAAACAGATTTGCTGGAGTGGAGTGAACATGGGGTGCAATGTGTTTGCCAGTGGGGGAGCAAAAAGCAACGTCGTAAGCTGGGTGTTATGTTGCCTTGAGATGCGATCGTATTGGTTATTGTTGTTCTCCTTGTTGCCCCAGATCAGCTATAGGAGATGGTGGACTTTATTTTATATGTCGCCCCCTCCGAAGGAACATCAACCCAACCGATGCAAGTCTCCTGGTGGTGGCATCTTCGCACAGGACGCGCCTGTTCTTATTTGCCAAGCCTTACCCCCTTGAGGCTATTTAACAGGCTGCTGACCAGGCTGATCATGAGAATTGCCTTCACAGACTCCGGAAAGTCCCCTAATAAAACTCAGTGGTCGCTTGGATTCGGAGAAAACGACCGTGTGAGTGTGGGTAGCGACGTATTTAATCCAGGAAGCAGGCAGACGTGAAAAATGAAATTTGATCGAAGGTTCATTTGCTATTGTCACAGTCATACCATTCTGGACACCCGATTTCACCGATGTCCCTCTACTATTTAATATTCCACAAGGCACTACGTAAGAGAAGTCAACTCTGAATTGCCAATATCGAGCGGTGGTGTAATTGGCGCGTGCACCAGCCAATGACTGCCCAAGGGATCGTGAAGGCAAGTTCGAAATCGAGATGGGGTGCCAACATCAACAGCATGTCTCCTTTCGAGTGACGGCAGTATTTACTATGCTGGTCGAATAGCGATATTATGTGTAAATGAGGAGATTGACATGGAAGCTGCCCTCTCCGGTATGAATTTTGGGGTGTGATTCAGTCGGATGGTTGTCAGCGGCGGCAGAACTGAAGCATGCCATTATATGCGATCTCAGGTTACGAAGGAGCTGAGTTGGCGTCTGGGGTGCTTTGAGGAGACAGGATGCATAGATATCTCCCCGAAGAATTTACCGCACTAGCCTGTTGTCGAACCGAGCTGCCGGTTGAAGATCCCAGAATACGCGTTTGCCTTGCTGCGCGGAGTAGAGATATAAGATTTTCACCGCGGGTCGGCAAAGGAGATGCAGTATTTAACATATCGATGCTGATACGGCAACTTGTTCTTCCGTACAAAAATGTTTGGCAGAATGTCTCGCCGTCGCCTGTGTTTGCGGGGTTGGGACAGAGGACGGGTTCCGGCAGTTTGTGTAAACTGACGATGATGTTGCACCACGGTCCGCGGGGCTCCAACAACTGTCAAGCCAGGAGGATCACCACGGATCACTGCAGGGTCGATCGCGAGGTCACATTCTGCCGCAGGTTGGGCGCCGAATTGGGATGTTGTATTGTTTGTGGCAGCTGCAGCACCCAAAAGTCCCGCTCGCTGAACCGGTCAGTCTCGCAACCGTATACATGGGCGAATAGCTGTAGAATGACAAAATAGGTGTGGGAGACTGCCAAACTTCGATAACTAACACTTACGCGGCGAACTACAACTTGCTACCAGGGAAGAGGCGACAAGACTCCTAAATAGATGGTGTCTTGCGGGTCAAACCACTGTATACACAACATACACAACATAATTTAACGGCCGTAGAATCTTCGGCGTAGTAATTCTCTGGCATCGACTGTGCGACGTCGCAAATTGCTCATGGATGCCATCCAGATTGGGAAGACACCATCAGCCCGTAGAATTGCACGTAATACTATAGCTGTCCTTTGCAATACGTATCAGGCGATGCACTTCTTAAATCCCCTGTGCTGCGGAGTTTTCAGGAACGATCTGACCAGCACGTTCGGAGTCGTGAAGAGTAGTCGGAGACTTCTACCACAATTAATAACACTTTTAAGCGCTAGCAGGGGCATCACCGCTGCATGGCTGGTCGTGTCTAGCTCTCCACCTCTCGCGTGGGTTGGCATGGTAGATCCTTGCCCAGATCATGACTGGAAGCGAGACGGAATGATGCACAGCCTCTCGTCATCACTTCAAGCCTGTTTGTGCCGTGCATAAAGGCCGCCGATATGGTATCTGTTTCCTTCTCCTCGGCTCCCAGGGCCGGACCAAACAGTTTAACCGAACGAGCTAGTGCTGGCATCTGATTGTGGTCCTGTCCGCGATGGGTGACATACCCGAACAGGCGTCATTGGGCGACTGGCTCTGCCATGGCAGCAGCCTTTCTGGATGCCGCAAAGTCAGATTCTCGAGTGCCTGGCATTTCTACGAGTCAGCACGAGGGTCATGGCCAAGACGCAGCTTTAATTGCCTTTGATGGGGGGGATGAGGTTCGATCAGCTTTGCGACCCGAGTGGCTCATAAGGAATCTACCATTCCCCAAAGGCAATTAGCAAACCATATTCTTGGTGCATTGGGATATTCAAGTGGCTCAATGCATGTATGCCCGGGATTCGCACCGGAATAAACAGCTTACTTGGTTGGCTGAGAAACATTCCCCAGCAAAAGTGCTACGCTTGGCGTCGAGTTGGCCTTGTGCCCTACAGCAACAGGCCAAGAGAATCGCTTTGTAATGCTTGAACAACTCGAGCAGAGTGAGAAATCTTGGGGATCAAGTAGCAGTTCTTTGCTTCGGAAACGGACCCCATTCCCAAAAGTCCTTTTGCTTTCTGGAACTTTAGCAAGTCTAGCGGGAGTTTGGTTGGTGCTTGTCATGGGTGCCCCCCAGGAATGATCCCAGCAGGCGCAGAACCGCACAGGCCCTGGGGGTCGTATAGTGAGCAATGGTTGGTTCCCAAGTTATCTGGGGAGGCCATCTTGAGCAGGTTCCATCGCATGATGCCGACCAAATGTTGGTGTCGACTCGGCCAAATGTACTGTATGAATGTTATTCAATGCGTAGCTTGGGTTACATCTCGAGTTTCCTGAAATAATGCGAGACAAGTGGCAACGTTGAAGACAAGGTAGATTGCAGGCAGTCCTCCCTACCTGGGTAGTTGCCAGTTGCCACGCTTCCAACAAAGAAACAAACCAAAACGAAGACGAGATGCAGGAGAAGTAATGCAAGAGATGCAAGTGGAGCTGAACTGTCCAGAGGCTGCTGCTTCGCCGCCTGCGACAC